TGTATTGTATACATATGCTTTTCTCGTGTCCCTTCTATTTATATAGCTCTGCTATATGCACACGGAGTCTTCATTGTAACCATGTATGTTTGAGAATATGTACTCTTCGAATGATACAAAATGAACTTACATCGTTTTCAGCCGCTGAGTTTGCGCCGAACACTAAGAGCTGTTTTACTAATGCTGCATTCCCATAGCGACACGCTGTGTGCATGGGTGTATCGAGGTCCTGTACGGTGCCGTGACATGTGGCAGCATAAGTGTCACTCTTAATCAAAAACCAAGGAGCTTTGCGTCAGGGAAGTCAAAGTTATATTGGAAGAAGTTTTGATAAATTAGCATAAATGCAACCGATGACTGTCTGGATGTTCACACTACAAAGCTACCTACTGTCTGCTATATAAAAGTGCCCCTCAACGAGTCGAGTTCACTGTATGTTTCCAATATCGCCACATTCTCGATCAACATGTACCTTTGTTTTCGCCTCTAACGACGATCCTTCCGCAACAAGCAGCTCGACGGCAGCCGTAGAACCGTGCTCACAAGCCCGATGTAATGGCACACAGTTATACTGTGTGTGTGAAGGGTGAACCTCTGGATCACTTATCGGATCAAGATCCAGCCACAATCGATCGCGGTATATAATAGTACTTCAAGAATTAAACCAAAGAAACTATATAAAAGTATTTATATCAGACATGTCGCATCAAAGGTTCCCGACACTTCTGGAAGCACGCCTCACCTGGTCCTTGGCATCCTGGTTTGCTCCTCTCTCCTATAGCAAATCAACGACCTTGTGATGGCCGTGCCCACACGCTATGTGCAATGGAGTGCGTTTGAGCTGCACATGCGATTTAAGGCAGAGTGGTGCACGCTGTTAGTGTTTTATCATGGCGAATGTGTCGTTGTGTCGCATTGTGATTGAGCATGCTGTCTAAACACCACCATAGTGGAATAAACGTTGGATCGGATATGACGAATTGTGGGCGTCTCAACTAATATCTGATATCAGGCAAGATGAACATAGCGACATCAGCTAGTTACTATTAGTTTAAAACTATTCCGCTCACGTCTATTTACACGACAATGAAGTCCGAAGTGTAGCGTTTAATACGAACAATATGAATACTAAAAGGATTGCGTACTTATATGTACATATGTATATGTGCATGATGTAATGTGTAGCAACGTATGTGAAGATTGTTCAAACCTGGTCGGTGGCCTCTATCTCAGCGCCCCTCGACAAAAGCAGCTGGACAGCATCTACATGTCCAAACTGGCACGCTACGTGGAGCGCCGTGGCACCGTACTGTGGATGAGGATAGATTGAGTGTATTCATATGTAGAATCTCAAGTGTGCATTAATCCACATTAAATTAGCTATGAAACCCATTGTAGATTAGATGTGTAGGTTAATCGCTTTGCGTCATAGCAATTACAACGTAGGGCAATATGTTACTACAGGTGTTTAAAACCGCCATCGAGCTTCGCGTAGATCTAAGCATAAACACAGATATCAGACGTTTATTTTATAATCACACATACTCCATGTCTTGCTGTATCACTCAGACTAGCTTGCGAGTCAATGAGGCTTTCGAGTGTCTTAACATCACCCTTCCTAGCTGCACAAAACATATTGCTGATTGTTTGTACAAGAGTGGCGCTATTATGATTCTATCGAACGATCGCTGTGAAGTTTTGAAGTCCAATCAATAAAGATACACTCCTTCAAATTGAGGACACCGGTTTAAAAAACATGCACTGCTAGTACCACCGATTATATTTGTCGAAGACTGTCCAGTCC